TAAGTCAGGTCACTTGGGGGGTTTTGTTTTTTGTTAAAAGATGGCAGATTTTAATTCAGAATACCTTTTCAGTATCATTTTGTTTCGCTAATGTCTTGATTCTGCAAATGTTCTCATTTGTGGCAGAATTAAGGCTACGTTTATGGTTAAGAAATGATCCATTTTACCTATGTCAGAGCTTTTTGTATTCAATGTAGCAAAACATATTCCATGTGTGACTTGGAAAAACTGTAGTATTAAATGTCACAGACTTCTCATCTGAATTTTAATTTAGTAGTTAAGCTTTAAATCAGAAAAGATTGTTTATCACAAGGTTCTCATGGCTAAAAAAGACTAAGTGTCAACAGTTTAAAGTGGAACAGGGATGACATGGCAGACATCCTGCCAGAGCTACTGTTGATTCCAACAGCATTAGCACATGTGGAACCCCAGAGCCAGGAATTTACCCGCAATAAAGCCAGGTTTTCAGTCAGTAAAACTGATGATTGCAGAAGCAGAGAGAGTCTGGCTGCCATTAGAGAAGGTAAGAAAACATCATCGGCTCCTTGGGGCTGCCTTTCTTTTGTAACCTCAGCTGTCAAGAAATGGAAATCAGGGTTGGGGAATTAAACAAAACCCACCAGTCTACCCATGACTTCTGCAGTAGTGACCTAGGTTTCCTTTTATTACTAGTTATTGCTCTTTTTCTCCCTCCCTCTGGAAGACTATTTTCTTGCTTATTGCAGCTGAGCAATTCACTTACTGAGCTGTTGAACTTTAATTTGGGGTCTAAGAAAAACATTATGTAAATCAGGTTTTAAGTATGACTATTATACTTCTCAAGTATCTGGAATGTTCCTCCTCATTCTCGTTAGAGGCTATTCCCAAATCTAAATACATTCTTCTGAGTATTCTGTTAGACTCAGAGTTAACTAAAGACAATTCTGGTTCAGAGATCCAAAATGAAGGCAGATTCACATTACTGGGTTTCACACCATCCGACAAAAAGTCGGAGCAACAAGCACAATGGCTACAGACACAAGGTATGGTTTCCAGCCAAGATGTACCACCACTGTATTTGAACTACAACAAGGAAATAATTTCAAGCTACATGAAATTAGTGTTCTAACATAAAGAAATTATATATTGTAAAATATGAAGCATTTTCAGATTTGCCTCACCAAAACAGATGTGTCAATAACTGAAGCTATTATACATACAACACAGATATCAATTTTTTTTTTTTTTTTTTTTTTTTTGAGATGGAGTCTCGCTGTGTCACCCAGGCTGGAGTGCAGTGGCGTGATCTTGGCTTACTGTAGCCCCTGCCTCAGGGGTTCAAGTGATCCTCCCGCCTCAGCCTCTCAAGTAGCTGGGATTCCAAGCGTGCATCACCATGCCCAGCTAATTTTTGTACTTTCAGTACAGATGGGGTTTCCCCAGGTTGACCAGGCTGGTGTCGAACTCCTGACCTCAAGTGATCCGCCCGCCTCAGCCTCCCACAATGCTGAAACTACAGGCGTGAGCAACCACGCCCAGCCATCTTTAAAGATATTCAAATCTACTTCTTATTGAAAGGTCAGGACCTAACACTTCAATTTGTAAATGTTTTTATTTATAAGCCAATAAGTAATGCTTTTTACTAATATATATATTCTCTCATGACCTCCAAAATAGAACAGAATATATATATATATATATATATACTCAGCCTCCTGAGTAGCTGGGTTTACACACACGTGGCACCACGCCCGGCTAATTTCGTATTTTTAGTAGAGACGGGGTTTCTCCATGTTGGTCAGGCTGGTCTTGAACTCCCAACCTCAGGTGATCTGCCTGCCTGGCCTGAGAGAATATATTAAATAAGTAAAACCAAAGGCCATTCTGAAAGACAGTGCTGTCTTCTTACGTTTTCAGTTTCCTCTGTGCTGTCACATGTAGTGAAGTCATTTAAGAATGAAGCAGACACAATTCTGCTTAGACACTACCATTGATGAGGATGGTGTATGTGAAGAACACAAAGTTAAAAAAATTGTATATATCCATACTTCAAAAGCTCCAAATGCCAAGCCTAACTTAAAGCAAAACGAACCTTAAGTTTAACCTGTCTTCCTCTGATCACCTTTTATTTCCAGTTCTTGTTCTATTCGAAGACCATTAAGAAGTAAAAAAAAAAAAAAAAAAAAAAAAAAAGTTTTAAGTATCAATTGTTAAAAACAACAAAGAAGAGTTTAAGGAAAGAATATATTTGAACCACATAAACAAATAAAAAGGTATTACATAAGAAAAAATAATGTAACAATTTATGTAAGTACCTAACATATGAGCATGCTCTTACATCTAAAACAAAAAATAAAAAGGTAACATTGGTACTATATATATATATTTGACAAGTGTGCATTAAAGAATTCTCTAATATAAAACATTTAAAATGTGGAGAATACTTTTTCAAGATACAGAAAACAATTGTTATGATAGGCACACCCACAATTCTTATAAAAACATGCTTGCAAGGATAAAATCCACCTGAGCACTCATTTCTCAGATGTACCAACGCTATAAAATTGTTAAGCACTGAATATTGCCACCCACTTTTGCAATGTTTGAGTTTCAACACTGATTGATATGAATTCTGAATTACACAATTACTGTTATTTTTCAGTCTTTCTGCCATGTTCCATATAGAAGGCATGTATTTAATATGAATACTTAAAACAGCAACATTATTTGTAGCAAAGTCATTTCCCTGTGTTCATTTTTCCTTTAAAGGCACTATATTTAGAAAATAGTTATTACAACAAATAGTGCTTTGGAAGATCTGAAACTCCAAATCAATGTGCTCCATCAACCATAAGTAGATCTAAGAAGCCCTGACTGAAAAGAACACAAATGTAAAAAGCTGATAAATTTAAAGATTATAAAATTGGTTTATTGTAAAAGCAATTCAAGAATACCCAGTTAAAATCTTATCCCAATGCTACCCAATACAACCAAGAAGCAGTTAAGCACTTTTACATTAGGAACAAGGACATAAAACAAGAGACCACATCAAGGCTATGATTCAAACTCAAAAAGGGAAAGGACTCTTAGGTCTCCTTCAGGTCAGTACAGAGGGCATCATAAGATCAAAGCACTGTGCCAGGTATCACAGTACTGCTACAACACTGAGGTATAACTGGGCAAATCAAAGTCGAGGGGAAATGAAGACCTCCATATTATTGTGTTGTGGGTGTACTTAAGTGATTGAAATTCTAGGAACAGCTGCCTTTAATGGCAGCAAGGTGTGAAGACAAGTCTTTATTAAAGAGAAAGAAGTTTATCAAGTTCTCTATCAAGGTCCCCCCTAAATCTTCACAACCCCCCAAACTTTCCCACCCTCCCCCTAAGCTAAAGCTACTCTGCTGATACATAAGATATAATCTTAATTTGTGGCTACTGGCAAATTATAGGCACTCCTTCCAAGTAGCTTTGATCTTCTGCACATTAAAAAAAATCCCAACAACATGCTATATAATTCATATACCCAATTTTGCATTCTAGGTAGAATTTCATTACTACTCTAAAACTCCATCTGCAGTCGCCATTTCCCCCCAGACTTAATGCAAGATTTAATCTTTCTGCTGTTTTCTGAATAAAAGCCTTAGAGTCAATTATTATCAGTGATCAACCTATGAACTATTATATACAACACAGTGATTGCATTTTTTTTGAGCACTGAAAGTACTTAAAATAAAACTTCTTACTTCCAACTTTTACACTCCTCCAAACTGAAGGGCCAAAATACTTAGATTTTGTAATTGGGGGGGAAAAAATCTATCTTCCCAAGCTGAGGCTTTTCATAGCAGCTTTTGCCAGGAGAAGAGATTTTATGCCTGTTATAAACCCTTGAAAATAAGGGCTTATTCTAGAAACATTGAAAGACCCTTAAAACATAGAGGTGCTAGCTGGTGCCACTTTAATTCACAACCAACTATTACTTCATAGCTTATACTGAAGAGTTAATTCATGCTCATTTTGTTCCTTTAAAAAATACTCTTTGGAAACCATTATTACTCCTGTAGACACATACTCTAGTTACATCATCTCTTCCTGTAAAAATAAAGGTATAATCATGATTATCTCTATTTCTTTGCTAAATTCAACTACCAATATACATTTATTAATCTGATCACTTTTCCAGCTAACTCATGACTTTATAATTCTATCCAGGGTCAATTTTCAGCATAGAAGTAGGAGCAAGTCTTATAAGTAAGAACAATCTTGAAGGCAATATTTTAATCTAGTCATTAATGTGTTCATTACAAATGAGAACTACAAACTAGAATTTACTTCCAAAACTAAGGTAAAGGTAAACTTCCAAAGCTAAATGAAGGTAAACCACTATAAAGCTTATTTCTGTCATGCCCATTATGAACCTACTCAGTGATTTCCAACAGAGACTTAAAAATTAGTCCAAGGGAGTCAATTAGTCCAAGGGAGTCCAAGGGTTAAAATAAAGCCATTTCTGGTTTGCTGCTTTCCAATTCATCAGATATCTACCGTATGTCCAGAGGGCATGGAGCACTCCCCTAGAACTATCCATAGTAATAACTCTTTCTAGAACACTAAACTACTTCAAACATCTGCAGACTGCCCCAACCAGATTTAAACTACCAGTGAAATATAAACTACTAGTCATGTATTCTAAATGCATACAAAGCGCTACCATTTTAAAAATTAACTGGAAAGTAGGGAAACCTAAAAAAAGGATACATTCCACTACCACACTATTATAAATGTTACGTTTGGGTGTGTGTATGTATATAAAAGAGAGAGCAGATAATCAAGATTTAAATAAGGTGGTAAAAAAACCAGGAAATGAAGATTTTACCAAAACAACTATAATAACCGTCCCAAGCTACAACTATGAACAGATTCACTAATATGGTCATTTGCCTAGGTTCCGACAAAACCAACCAATCAACACCCCCCACCGCCCCGCCAAAAAAAACCCCAACAAAACAAAATGCACACCCACAAAATTATCCACCAAAATCTATACTAGAGTATGTGGCAATAATTAATATATTTCTATGGAAATTGTCTCATGCCTTATAAGCTCCTAAAATAAAATCAAGGTCACTATGTGACTAATGATAGCACTAGGAGGAAAGGAAAATACTGAAAGTAAAACAGGCTTCAGCCTTGGTTTCAGCTATCTCTTCAAATCAGCATTAAGTATTTAATATCAGATAGAACATTTTTGGCTTGTCAGACCAGTAAATCATGTTTTTCCACTGGCCAAAGGCAGCTGAAGAAACAACTGGTGAGCAAACTAAATGCTGTGACATAAAGCATCTGACTTCTAAGTCTGAGTATTTAGTTAAAATGACTGGTGAACATTTAACTGGGCAAAAGGAATGGCATCCATCATCCAAACAGGCTCACTTCCCCCAGCCCCCAAAATGAACAGTAGTTATAATAGCAAAAGAAACAAAAAGTTTTTTTCTTTTTTTTGATTCTTTAGAGCCAACTGTGAAAGAGGTCAGCAATATATTAACAGCAGCAATGGACAAGGAAGAGCAAAATAGAGGATTAAAGTATCTTGCTGGACGTTTGTTCATCTTTTTCTGTATTAGCCAGAAAACTGCAACTGGCTTATGGAAATTTCAGGTGCGTATGTCTCCTTAGATCCTTCACAGATTTAGAATTCAGTCTGCCTGAGGGCTCTATAACCATGTAAGAAAGCTTTCTTTATCTAGCTTGGTGGCAGCCAAAACAGACTCCATGTCATTAAGGATGTCAGAACTCAAAGCTTCCTGCAGACTTGGCATCAACTCCTCTCCTTCTATGTTCATTCCATCTCCTTCCAGTGTTCCAAGGTCCACATTTGTCCCAGGAATGGCTTCAAGGTAGTCTGGGAAACGGTTCTGCTGTGAGGGCAGGGTGCTTTGGTTGATAGTATCACCTAGTGGAAACACACACAGAGAGATAACAAAGTCCTTTTTGAAAAGCTAACATCAGGGCTGTATCATATGAGCATACAGAAATGCACAGGGAAAGAAAAGCGCTCCTGACTGACCTAAACTGATACCTAGAATTTATATCAGGTCAAACAACTCACAGGTAACAAAATAACAATGCCGAGTTTACTTTTGCTTCAACATTTGTTCACATATCCAATAACAGCTCGATTGCTATTATGTGCTGAGCACTAAAGGGAGTCATTAAAAAAATAAAAAAGTCCTTGAAAAATTATATGCAGCAGGGGGAGAAAGAACAAGAACACAACACAACAGCATCACTACCCTGTCTTCCAGATAAGCACCACCATAATAAGACTAAACATAAAAACGAGTGGTATAGAACTTCCTTGGTCTTAAAAACACTTTGGGAAACATTAAAATAAAAGGACTGCATGAATGCTTTATTCCACCCTTATGCACCTTCATAACAGCAAAACAAGCTTCCCAGAGGGCTTTGAAGAAATACATCTTCTTAGCCTTGCTTCTAGGTTTCCCAAACTTACTCCGCCACAGAGCCTTTTTTGCATATGACAACATTAACATTCCTCAGAGCTTCAATAGAACATACTTTCAGAAAAACTAATATAAATCATTAAGTGCTATAGGGATCTAGAGAAGAGAGAAATACAGATTAGAGAAGTAAAAGTGTTGTGTGTGAAATGGGTTTGAAGTGGCTCCTAAGGATGATTTAAAATCTAGGTAAGCAGAGAGGAGGGGGTAGTGTGGATTCTAGAAAGCATCAAAGCCAGGAGCTGGATGAGTACAGGCACAAAAGCCTTGCTAAACACTTTCAGAAGAGAAGCAGTTAGCGAAAGAGTTGGTAGCTAAAGAACAGCTTCATTTCCCTGCCAATTCATGCAGTCTGGCAGTTGTCAAGTTTAAGGCAATGGTTGCCAGGTAAGCCACAGGAGAAATGCTTCCTTAATTACCCCTGTGAAGCAAGTATTTCTTAGCTCCTGCAAGACCCCTGTAACTATTCCTTTTTTTTTTTTTTTTGAGACAGAGTCTTGCTCCGTCACCCAGGCTGGAGTGCAGTGGTGTGATCTCGGCTCACTGCAACCTCCGCCTCCTGGGTTCAAATGATTCTCCTGCCTCAGTCTCCTGAGTAGCTGGGATTACAGGCACACACCACCACACGTGGCTAATTTATGTATTTTTAGTAGAGACAGGGTTTCACCATGTTGGCCAGACTGGTCTTGAACTCCTGACCTCAGGTGATGTGGCCACCTCGGCCTCCCAAACTGCTGGGATTACAGGTGTAAGCCACCGCACCTGGCCTTCTGCAACTATTCTAATAAAGTAAGTGGGCCCCACCTCCTAGTCTTTCCCATCTGGTTTCCTGAGCCCCGTAACACCTAAGGTGGACCAAAAACTCTTAGAGAAAAGATGAAAACAAACACTGAATAACATGTAGACATTTCTCAAAATTAAGGACACAAATCCATAATAAGGAGAGAGATGTTCTAACAGGCACTTCAGTTTGTCTTGCCAATTAAGATCAACATGCTAACTAAGTCATGCTGCCAGAGTTTTATTCAAATAGAGCTAATATATCCAATTTATGATTTTCTTTTTTTTTTTTTTTTTTGAGAACGGGTCTCATTCTGTCACCCAAACTGGAGTGTAGTGGTGTGATCACCAGGGCTCAATCCATCCTCCCACCTCAGCCTCCTGAGTAGCTGGGACCACAGGCACGTACCACAACACCTGGCTTATTTTTGTATTTTTTTGTAGAGATGGGGTTTCACCATGTTGCCCAGACTGGTCTTGAACTCCTGGGCTCAAGAAATACGCCTACTTTGGCCTCCCAAAATGCTGAGGTTACAGGCATGAGTCACCGCACCCGGCCAATTCATGATACATATTTTTTTAAACTAGGAAAATACCAGTTACAAATCACCATATAGAGACAAAGCAGGCTCAATTTAATTCGAATTTACAGGATTTTAATTGGTTTTCTTCTGAATAATCTTTGCTTACAATACCTTATTAGACCTGGTGATAACATACCCGACTGTAAGTCAGGCTACTAAGAGGAATAAAGAATACCAACCTGTATCCATCTCATCAACGCTGTTCAGGAAGTCATCTGGGGTGCGAGGGACACTGTAGCTGCTCATGCTTAGTCCACTGTCTGTACTCTCATCTCGAGAGTGATAGGTGCCACTACAAAAACATGACAGTTAAAGACCAACACAAAAAATTTTAAAAATCAATTCAAGGTAAAAATAAACACCTGCTGAGTACCAACATAATTCTCAAAGAGGATTAGTGAAAATTCCTGCTCTGCAATGTCTGAAACAAGCCCCTCCCTCAGGGCCGTAGACAGGGCTTGTGCTATGAAGTGAAATAGACAAGTTAATCCTAATTGAAGCTAGCAGCCCTAAAGAGCCAAGATTTCTCCTAAGGTTCTGTGCTTGATGACAATAAGGGACAAAAAAAGGTACCCCCAGTTAGTTTTCCTGGCTGGCAGACAATTCTCTGCATGAGTATTCTCCTCTCTGTAATACCATTTGAATCTGGAGGTGGGGAGGAACCCACACAACTTACTTGTCCCAAGGTCTCAATTCTCCAGGTGGTGGTGGCACAGACAGAGAGGTCAAAACACAAACTCCAGGTGGGCGAGGAGGCAGGTCTGCACTAGATTCAAGTTAAATTCCTAGCTCTTGTGCAGAGAACATAAGCCAAGGAAAAATCAACCCCAAATAAACCACCAGAATTCCTTTTAGGACTGAACCAAAATAGATGAGTCACTGCTGATAAGATAAGAATACTCATGGCTTGATCTCCTTGCTTCTGTGTTTGGGCGGGGGAGGAAAAAGCCTCAAACACTTTAGTACGAAAGGAAATGGGAGATCATATAGCTCCAGTTAAAGAAAAGAGCAAAACAAAAAACTGCAAGGCACATCCCTTGAAAATAAAATGACCCGACACAGATTTTCACTTTAGACTAAGCAAGGTTTCCCAGATTTACATTCAAGTATGGTAAATATCCATTACTCTGATAAATAAAACACTCTCCCAAGCTGGTAGCATCTAGACATCAGCGGGCATTCACTGAGTTCTACTAACTCTAGAAAATTCTCAGTTCTACTAACTCTAGAAAATCTTGGAGAAAAGCATAAAATCAAGGCAGCTGTTATTCTTCAATGGTCTGTGTACATGTGTGAACTTCAACTTTCTCTATAACTTGTACATTTAAAAGCAGCTATTTAACTTACATAAAAGTTAAAAAATAAAAACAAGTTTAACAATTGCTCAAGGCTACAAGCTCAGTCAGTACCCCAACTGCCTTCCCTAAATGATGCAATGCGTTTGCCTTGTTCTCTCTCTCCCCTCATTCTATATACTGCAATCACTGGTTTACTCTAATGCTTCTGCCAGATTTTGCCAATGCTCAAAAGCTTCACACAGATCCAAGAAAATACATACTTGCCTCTGAGACCACTGATATACAATGCAGCCACGGATGAGAAGGCCTCAGGATTTGGCTTGTTTGTATTTTGCCTGCCCTGATCTGGGACAAGAGCCTGGTCCTAGTCATCACTCTATTCGGCTGCTAAGCATGGGACGCACATCAGACATTTTAGTCTATTACTGAATAGCTGAACTTACAGAGTTGTGCAGAGTTCATTCCAAACCACAGGGGAAGCACATGGGCATTCCTGAGGACAGAGTTTACAGGGCCATTTTCCTGGCGAGGAACTGCTCCCTGCAGAACCTCACCTCCTACAGGCCCCACTCATTCAATAAACATTCACTGAGCATCTGCGACTACATGACAGGCATTAGACTAGGCTTTGAGGATAACGAGGTTAACCACCACCACCACCTACAAACAATGTTTTGTGAGAGACTCACAACTGCAAGGAGGGAAATGAACAAATATACTACTGAATCATATACAGGGGCTATATGAACCATGTAAGCACAGTACTTTCACAACAAACAAGGAGCTTGAAAGTAAAGGGTAAAGGTTTCATGGAGGGGGACATCTGAGTGAGCTTTGAGGGATCTCAAAAGTAAAAGGGAGATAAGGGAAGTTTGTGTTACTACTAAAAAGAGTCAATGCCATGGCAAGTTGGGGGAAAAAGTATTTAGAGCTTAAGGAATATACATAAATCAAATAGTAAACAAGAGAAAAACCATCAAGAGGTTTTTTTTTGTTTGTCTTTTTGTTTTTGAGACGAAGTTTCACTCTTGTTGCCCAGGCTGGAGTGCAATGGCATGATCTTGGCTCACTGCAACCTCCACCTCCTGAATTCAAGGGATTCTCCTGCCTCAGCCTCCCGAGTAGCTGGGATGATAGGCATGAGTGACCACGCCCAGCTAATTTTGTATTTTTAGTAAAGACGGGGTTTCACCATGTTGGTCAGGCTGGTCTCGAACTCCTTACCCGAGGTGGTGGTCCACCCGCCTCGGCCTCCCAAAGCGCTGGGATTACAGGCGTGAGCCACCATAGCCAAGAGTTTTTTTTTTTTTTTTTTTAAAGAACAAAAAAAAGCCAAAGTCAGATGTATGTTATTATTAGAAACTGGGGGTACTGCAGATAATGCATATATAATTCTGCCCTTAGATTAGTAACATTGATTATCTGCCACTCTGATCTTCCCAGAAAATAGAATCTCAAATTATAGCCCAGCTCTCATCAAAAGTTTTAAGAAAAAAAACTTCATAAGTGACTGTCAGAAGGATATGCAGCCTATCCATTTTTAAAATGGTCTAATTTTTATCCCTGGGATTAATATAGGTCCTTCAATAAGACAGGAGATGAAATTTTACATGGAGATGAAATTTTCCTTGTTGGAAATAAAGTTTTGAGGCTATGCCTCTCTTAATTAGCCTCAGTTTAAGTCTAGAACTATAATCTTATATAAATACACTTACTTTTAGACAGAAATGTCAGAAGAGTAAATACAAACTTAAAATACATTTTAGGTGGCCTTCAAAATCAAACCTTCCAACTAGGCCACCAGCACTAACCTTAAAAACTGAGTAAATGGTGAATTCTATTGCACTAAATATTTTTAGCAGGGTAAGATATTTTCTCTTGGCATTACTAAGTTTCCAATTTAACTGGTGAGAACTGAAAAGGTGATGCAATAGTTTTCCTAGTGCAAAATACCTTTAGGTGTTTAAGAAAGTGTGTTATTTAAATCGATTAGAAAAGGAATCCAAAGTGCAAAGTATCCCCATATTTTAAAAAGTTTGAAACTCCACAGATATTTTACAACCTAGAAGAATTAATTTTAGTTAAATCTTAATCTTAAATGACTTCCTAGGCAAAGAATATGACCTGTTTCAGCTTACAGACTTCAAAATGGCAGTTTATATAATACTGCAATCTGTCTGAAACCCAGGATTTGTGGTAACTCACTAAGAAGCATCCCTAAGCTATGTTATTTTCAAATACTGCCGTTAATCTTAATGCATTTTTGAAAGAGGCACAACCTTACACTTTATCTCCTTGGACTATAGCCCGTAAGAACATGAGGCCTTACAGTGCTGCTGGGTAAAACATTTTAGGTTGAATAGCTATGTGGAAAATTCCTTCCAGTGATCCTTACAATGCAATCCTAAATAGGTTTAACATGCAATTCATACCTTTGACATTCACATGTTCCTTCGTGATTCTGTAATTTTAAGTAACTGTTAGTCAACAGTATAGGCAGAAGCAAACACGTTGTGACTTTGAATAAGTATCCCTTGTACAAGTCTGAACAGCTCACTTCCTCTCAAAGGAGACAACTTTTAATCCTCAACTCTGCATGTACTTGCCATTTACAGAGAGATTCATTTACAGCTATGGTTTCTGGCCCACACAGATGTTCCAAATAACCATTACAAGCACTAAGCAGAATGATTTTAAAGCAATGATCCTTTTCAGACATTCATCAGTAGCAACTTTCACTAACCTGTTAAGGAAAGGATCTGAACTATTGGTCGTCATTGTTCTCAATTCCTGAGACATCCCGGGAGAAGACACTGGATTTTGAGTCCCACCATCCTGCTCCAGTGTTGGTAACTGGCTACGCAGTGCTAATTCCTAATTAAAAATAAAGCAAAGCCAAAGAGAATCAATCTACTGATTAACATATTTAATGTTAGGTTTAAAGAAATAAAACGTTCATCAGAGTAACCGTGCAGACAGATTAAAAACATCTAGTTTAAAGTTAATACATTCCCCAATCAAAATGACCTAATTCTTCTATCCATTTCAAATGACTAAAAATTAAGTTACATATATTTAAAGTCTGTCTAGTTATATTAATCCCCACTCCCCCATATACGTTTTGCTACTTTGTTTTCATTTTGTTATTTTCCTTACTGTGGCAGACACTCCCAAATCCTACTTTGGGTTATTATAGAATGGCAAGTCTGGCCTTTAAAATGTAATTCTTAAAGTTTGTTTTTACTCACCAACTCTCATATGGTTTTGTGTTTGGAACCCACAGGAAAAAAAAAAAAAAAAAAAGCAGGAAGAATTGCATCTGATGATTTTCCTGTAAGACACCAATCCTTCCCCAATCCCCAACACTATTTCACACTTTGCTATTAAATGTCTCATTCTGACTTCAGGTTTTTCTATACTGAGCTGGATAGAATATGTTCTATTCTCTAGCAGGGAGAGAGGAGGAAAATGAAAAAAAGACATCAGAAGTAAAAACACAAGCCCAAGGCTTCTCCACCACAAACATAATATTTAAAATGGGGTAAAATGTCTTCAGGGACATCCAACAATTTCTCAGCAGGATTCTCCCTGGAAACCTGAGCAAAGGCCGTGGGCTGCTACTCTGATGGTTCCAGAAGGCCTGCCTTCATGGGTTTCCAAACATCCCAGGTTTCAGCCTGTATTTGCCTAGAACCTCAAAAACGGTTCATCTCACTGTGACCCATCCCTAGCACCCTCATTACTACTCTGTCTTTTTTCTCTATCTGTTCACTATTTCTTACCCTCCTAAGAATTTTCACTGTGCTTCTCCACCTATCGTAAACATCATCTTTACTTACACCATCAGCTTCCTTTCCCTCTACTTTTTGGGTTTGATTTGGAATACATACAGTTTTTTATCACAAAGGATACTGGCCTAATTCCCTCATCCTTCCACACAGCCTTCTGAGTCAAGTCTGCTCACTAAGGCACAGCCCCACCATCTCCAGCCCTCACCTCCACAATAGCCATGGGGTCCTGAAGTATGGAAAGCTTCTCCTAGCTCTACGCTGCCACTGCTCAGCTACAATTCTCCTGCATGCAAATACCACTTATTTTTCTTTAGGTTTATGCCTTCTGGATATACCATCCTTTAAACCAGAGTTGCTTAACCAGTGGACCATGACAGAATTCAGTCTCTGAAGTGGGGTAAAATTGGATGGGGTTAAAAAAAACAATTATACATTAATTTTCGCTAACTTTATCAACATTTTCTCCAATGTAGAATGCACCATTAGTATTCACTGTACCTAACTTTTCACCAATAGAACATACAGATGTTTTCGTATCACATCGTAGTTGCTGCAAATATTTTAAAATACCATTTATGATCAGTGCTATTTCAATGTTGCAGTGGTTATGTTATAAGATGTGCTTCTAGATTTTTTTTTTTCCCAATCTTTTTGAGACAGGGTCTCACTCTGTCACCCAGTCTGGAATGCAGTGGTGCAATCATAGCTCACTGCAGCCTTGACCTTTCAGGCTCAAGTAATCCTCCTGCCCTCAGCCTCATGAGTAGTTACAGCCACAGGGGCACACCACCATACGAAGCTAATTTTTTTGTATTTTTGTAGAGACAGAGTTTTGCCTTGTTGCCCAGCTGGTCTCAACCTCCCAGGCTCAGATGATCTACCTGCCTCAGCTGCCCAAAGTGCTGGGACTATAAGTGTAAGTAAGCCACTGCACCTAGCTTTAGATCTTATTTATACATTAAAAAGAAGCACATTATATCACAAATTTCTATTTAATATTTTGTTAATAGTATCAATAAAATTCCTTTTCTTTTCAATCCTATACATTAAAAAAACAATCCCCAATGTCCTGAGAGGGGACCTAGGGTCTTGGCCAAATGCCAAAATTGTTTGCCCCTCTTCCCTGCAAGGCAAACAGCTTCCTGCACTCAAATGTACTGATCTCTTCGTTACTCCATCTTATATACGGGAGAATTCTGGAGCCTGGTCAAAGTCTCTTGCCACTCCAAGTATTCTCCATGCCTCTTAACATGCTTCAGTATTAAACGGACAATTCACTTAACCCGACAGCTTCCTGAACCTTCTGGATTCCAGTGACCTTCATCTCTACCCCACTCAATCACCCATTGCACAGCCACTCCACTCAATCACCCATTGCACAGCCACTAAGATCCTGTTATTTGAAACCAAACCAATTCTAAAATCTTAAGTCATGTTTTGAGATGACGATCAGCGTTTCACTTCATTCCAACTGCATTTATCACATGGGAATTATGACATCCACACATAAAACCCATATAATAACCCATTGTTGAAATGCTGGGATCGCCTTTACACTGAAATGATACTGACCACTTCATCACTGTATTTCAATCATTAAGTCTGTCAGTCATACCCTGGAACTGGCTTAGAAATTTCTCTACCAAAAATCTTACATGCACTTATCCTACTTTCTCACCACATTTTTTCTAACCAGTTCCTGCATAAACTCATGTCCACTCTACCCGCCCTCCAACCTCAGAGACTCCAGACCCATCTCTCCTTACTATTCTAGTCTATTGGCTCTCTTTTGGTATCTTATTTTTTTTTTTTCCTCCTTCCCTACAAGCTTGAATTCAGGACTGATCATTCAAAACAGCATAAGCACCTTTTAGATTCCTGATATAAATAGAATTTTAACTCAGCCCAGCAAATCCCAACCCCAAAGCAATGCCAAAGTGTGTTTGTTCCGTTTTTATACTGAGATTGCTGAGAAATGCTAAGGGAAAAGGAAAAACAACAACAACAACAACAAAAAAACCCACACAACTATCCAGAATGTTATCATTACAAATTAATGGTCTTTGGTTTTGGATGGACCCTTAGTATCATTTATTGTTTTTTTGTTTTGTTTTGTTTCATTCCTGGTCAGTTCTTTCTCACATCCTCATGGTCACTACTCCAGATATGGCATACTCTCTCAAGCCCCTATTCAGGGAAGTCCATTTCCTTTTTTTTTTTCTTCTTCTAAACTTTTTGTAGAGACAAGGTCTCACTATATGTTGCTCACATTGGTCTTGAACACCTGAGCTCAAGCGACTGGCCTCCCAAAGTGTTAGGATTACAGGCGTGAGCCACCATGACCAGCCAGTGAAGTCCATGTCGATTTCTTTTCCATCTACATTAGAACATTGAGGCCATCGGCCAGGTGCGGTGGCTCACGCCTGTAAACCCAGCATTTTGGGAGGCCGAGGCGGGCGCATCATTTGAGGTCAGGAGTTGGAGACCAGCCTGACCAACGTGGTGAAACCCCGTCTCTACTAAAAATACAAAAAAATTAGCTGCGCATGGTGGCACATGCCTATAGTCCCAGCTACTCAGGAGGCTGAGGTTGCAGTGAGCCGAGATCGCACCACTGCACTCCAGCCTAGGTGACAGCGTGAGACTCTGTCTCAAAACAAGCAAGCAAGCAAGCAAAAAAAAAAAAAAAAAAAAAAAAAAACCCAAAACAACAACAACAACAAAAAAACAGGCCATCAGGTATAATCTTTAATTTTTCTGGCCCCTCTTGCCACCTCTTCCTGCTCCCCTCAAAAGTAACTTCATTTACACTCATCATCTTTTTAACTTTTCTTGCAGTCTTATGGGGGTCCCTCTTATTTCTTTTCTATCTTCTACTTTTGACACCTCCCCAGGCTCTTCTGACAAAGTGAGAAGTGACTTTAAAAACAATGATACTACACTTGTTGTAGTCTGTCTGTGGGAGGACACATCCTCTCAATACCATGCCTTTCTTCTATATTATTTAAGACCTGGTGAAGGCATTATCTTCTTGAAGATACTCTCAGTGGTGATCCCATCTCAATCTTGAGATTGGATTAGACACAAAGATGTCATGTCTTTAACACCCTGAACACAGCACTTATCACACAATATTGTAATTATTTTTTCTGTGCCCCCTGAGGGCAGAGTGAATGGATTACTTTGGAGCATAAAACAACTTATAATTCCTTGAAGAATCTATATTGCTCTTAAAATACGAGGATGTATTTAACAGTAAACTTTAAAATGAATACAATTATAGGCTCCAGATGAGGCTGATGGCTAGGGTTCTGTGACAAAACATGGGAGTATTTGAGAATATCCTAAAGACTTTCATTTGCTTTGTCAGAGAAGGTATGCTCATATTTGTAGCACAAAACAAATATACAACACTAACCTGTAAGTCATAACTAAAATAACTGAATTGGCTATAAATTTCATATTATTTTTATAACTTTTTATTTTAGCCTTTAAATAAAATTGACTTTTATTAGGTTAAAACTAGTATCCTGTGTAGACTAGACTCTCCACGTTTTTGATGCTTTGAATTTGGCCACTATGTATGTTAAAAGCCATGAAATTTTTACTTTTTACTTCATTTAACAACTGAATTTCCATGTCAGCACACACTACAGAACCAACTATGCAGATTTATAAAGAAAGATAACTTAGAGGTGTCAGTAAGCAGGAAAATCATTCCATGTTACCTAAGGAGATATCTGACCCTTTGAAGGGCTATGGAAACACTCTTCTCATTAAACCTATATTTGAGCCATGACTAAGAGTAACTTAAGGATTCACCTAAATTAGACTTGAAAGAATCAATTAAAAAAAGACACTTTACTTACTGGTGGCAGGAGAGTGTATTATTAATCAAAGAGGGAAGAATTTGGCATGAAAACAAATATAGTCACCCTTTCATATCCATGGAGTCAACCAAGTATGGATCAAAATATTCGAGAAGAAAAATGGAAGGCTGTGTCTGTACGTAACATACACAGACTATTCTTCTTGCCATTATTCCCAATACAGAATAACAATACAGTTATAACAGTGTAACAG